GGTTTAGAACTTTAGCTACTATCACTTGTACAGTTATTCATCTGTGTTTTGGTTGGTTATATATCTCGCTATGATCTTCCATAGATAGTGTTCCTATCGCATTAAACAAAAGTCAGACCTTTGGGCAGGATGAAGCAGTCATGATGGGATACAGAAGAACATAAGATAGCTAACTGATATAAGAAAAAAGTGTGTACAACAGCTATTTCTTGGAATTGTTTTTGTGTTCTTAATATCGAAGGAGGTAGGAAATGGATCTGCTTCCATATTTCTTGTTATGGAGAACAAATTCTGGTCCTGTTTATGAAGGAACAAGAGCTCTTGAATCATGTCTTATCTTTTTTAATTCGTAGTGGGAACAGCCAGAGCCTTTGTTAAAGAGAGAATGATACATCCATGGTTTGGCAATTTGATAAAAGGGCAGCTCAGTGCACAAGGCCCCTGCATATACAGAGAGGTTGTTTCCAAAATTTGAACCCTGGTCACCCAGGTCGCAATGGAGCAAGATTTGATCCAATATAAAAAGTCATGTAATTAGATAAGGTTCTGTATTAGCATTGGAGTTTATGGAAACTCTCAGGGAACTTTCAATTTCTCTGCAACCGGAAGGTTATTGAAGACCTATTCAAAATGCCGCAGGGTTGGGTTGATTTGTCTGCTTTGTTAATTAGAAGGTGGTATTGTAGTTAGCCAAATCTAAGAACCTTCAAGTTCATCAAGAATCCAGATGAGTACTACATTGTAAAGAAAGTAGTTTTGTTCTTCACTGATATCTTTATTCCTGAATCTTAGACCATTCAATAAAGAATATTAAACCATCCATATGTGGCGATTTTATATGGTCAGCGTATGCTGACTACTCTAGACATCCCTCCCATTAGACTTATTGTCTCTTTGGAAAGGTTTCTTTGCTGCTGATTGAACTTGTACGAAACTGCAAAATCTTATCCTAAGCCGGAATGCCCAGGGCAGAGGCATTACACTGAGACCCTTCTTTCTGGGCTTGTCCCGTCTTAAGGAAGTATGGGGATACTATGCTAATTGTGTTAATCGTTGATCAATATGCCATCTAGGTTTCAGTCTTAGTAGTAACTAAGGTTTCGAATCTGGTATCCATTAAATTTTACATTGAAGTTGATCTATTTTTGATTATGCGTGATCTGGCAGCCCCTTGTTAGAGGGCAGCTTAGATGTTGAGCTGGTTAGTTCACTAGGTTGATATGCAAAAAGACAGTATCTAAGTGCTTGGGCTGCTTTACCCAGGGTGGGTACTCCGATGTTTAAGTTATCAAATTGGAGATTTTGGAGAGACAGAGAGAACAAAGAGTTAAGTTGTGCATACCTCTTGAAGTTGGGAATGAGACCTTTATATTAGGTATTGTTTGGCATGAGCTCTATGCACCACGTTCAAGATCTCCAGAAAGACGTGGTTGATCGGTCTGAAGTCCTCGGAGGTAGCTTCACATGCAGACTAGGTTTTTGTGCCTTCCTCTGGAACATTCGATATGGGAGTTGACTTTCAGAGGACCTGGGAATGATGGGACGCCTATAGAGGAGGTCGACAAGCACGTTTCGCAGGTCGCCACCTAGACCTCAGTCAAGTTGGCAAGTCTTTGTGGAGGTTGCTCCCCATGCCGAGGTCACTTCCACTGGTACTAACGAGGTACCATAGGTTGGCAAGTCCTCGTGAGGGTTAGTCCTCACATTGAGGGCCCTTGGACCGGTAACGGTGAGGTACCATAGGTCGGCCTTGGATGAGGTGTTGCTAGCAGTCCTAATGAGGTGCCCAAGCTATGCATGGGGTATCTTGGACTGATTCCGGGGTGCATCTCCTTGGCTCGGTGAGATACATGTCTATCTGCGTGGCATTGAGGCGTCAAACGGTGAAGATGGATGCCACGTGTTGCTATGTGAACAGAGGGCCAAATCACTCCTCATCAATTTTCTTTAGGGTCTTAACAAGCAATTAGATAGCAGGAAGCAGGAAACCAGGTTCTTTTGGACAACCAGAAGCACATATAGCTATTAAAGGTCTGTTTGGTTTGCGGTCAGAATCAGAAATCTCTTGGAATTGGAATGGTCTATTTTTCTTGCCTATTTGATTCAGATGGGATTCAGAGTCAGAATTTGAATAAGCTGGAATGGATTCTCATTCTCAAGGGAGGGGGAGGGAATGATCATTCCACCAGGAACGGGAATGGGATTCCAAAAGGATTGGATCTGTTCTGATTCCGATTCCAAGTCCTTATTCTTACAAATCATACCCTAAAATATGTAGAGTGCTTCTGCATTAACATGCTAAACTCCAAATAACTGGCATCATATTAAGTGCACCATCTTTAGAAGATGCAAACCAGTTTGAGATTTACCTCAGCAATTGGAAACAATTCTCCAATTAGTGTACTTGAATCTACTACATCTCTTCAAAAAGTGCAGTGAACTAATATCAAATGATGACCTATTTTTGTAGTTTTTACAACATTTTGGTTCTACCCAGAACCAAATGGAACTGACCTCGAACTGACCCTATCCAATTTGTTACACTTACAGGGTAGGGTCTGGTGTTTTAAGGTCTAGGGGTTTATCTGTGAACTGAACCAACCCGATGAACTGGCCTTGGAATCAAACTTGTCCTGAAATAAATCCCAAAATATTAAGGATGTGAAGATTTGACCAATGTCTTGAAATATATCCCAAAATGTCTTGAAACAAATCCCATGGTCTCACTTGACCATTGAATTACTTGAGTGATTTGATCATTTGTTTTCATTTTAATATTTGAATGTGTATAAAAATTGTAAAAGGTAATATTTACAAAATTTAAATTATAATAACAAATTTTGAACTATATATTAATATACTATGATAATCTACTCATTAAATTACTCAGTTTAATCAATAAAGATAACATAAGTTTTAAACTATATATTATCATTGTTGAAAACCAAAATTTTAAAGGACATGTTTCATTTTTTTCAAAGGGGGAGAGCAAAGAAAGAATAGGTTTCACAAGTAGACCTTATAACCGACCCTTAAACCGCCAAGGCAAAAACCGATCTTGGAAGGCTGAAACCAACCTTCACAGGATAGGTTTTGGTTCCAAAAACTTGAAACCAACCTCTACAAGTAATTTCCAAGTTTTGCCACGAAACCAAACTAAACTGACCTTTGCTTACCCCTACTTGTAACCTCTTATCACGACTTCCATGTGCCCCTTTACAAGATTGCCCCTACAAAGTCCCACAGCACATCCCTGCTGTGTATTAGGAATATCTCCCGATGATGATATCATCATTCTGGTATTATCATTAGGAGATGTTCCCAACACATGGCGGGGATGTATTGTGGGGCATTGTGGGGGCTGATTTGGTCTAGCTCTTGTTTGATTTGTACTTTTAGTTTTTTATTTGGAAATGGAAAGGGAAAAAATTCTTCTTGCCAGTCTCCATCATTATGCGAGATGGGATCTGCTCCTCACACTTGGGCGCCTCACATGCACATCCACCGTGCATTGAGAACATCTCCCGTAAATAATAACTTAGAAGTATGGGAAATGTTACCATGGTAGATTTGCGTGTGAGGCGCACTGTGTGAGGAGCAGATCCGGTCTCCGTTGATGCAAGGGAGATAGAACGTAGTAGAAAAATCTTTCTATCTGCATTTGGAGCCTCGAGAGCTACCAGTCTTTTCTTTTCAGCGTTGGACATCTCATAACTCACCAGTCGTTCGGCAAATCAAGAGCAGACAAGTTGGTAGAACGCGAGAGGGCTAGATTTGGAAATTCCGACATAAAGTGGGTCCGGGTGCGTTGACAATTCAGTTAATAGACTCAATACCCATCCTTTCCTTTGTTTCGTGATTTCGTCTTTTTGTTCTCTCTCGGTACTACCTGTGGACTATGGATGATGGATCCGCTGCAAAAGCCCTTCAATTTGCCTATATTTTCTACTTTACCCTTCGTGAACTTGAAGAGTGTTGTGGCGAGTGTGAGCCCGCGTGAAGCTGATCCAGCGGTCATGTTTTGAACGTTAGGTCGGATTAGTAGCTATGGAGGGAACGATGCAGGCCGTAAATGTTTTCTCATCGATTCGTTCTCTTTCCGAAACTAGCCAAATCCATAACAAATTACCACAAGAAGATTGGAGTCACAGAGTCGCAGAAGTAAGCGAGAGAAGTTCGAAAGATGAAGCAAATGGAAGCAGCGACTGAGACCATCTTGAAGAAAAATCTGATCAGTCGTCCTCCACCACCGCCGCCGCCGCCACCACCGCCACGAGCACTGCCGAGGTACTGGATCCCGATTAGACAAGCAGAGAATACTATTCAAAGCGTGACGAAGCAGGAGATTGCCAAATTTTGGAGGCAGAAGCGCATGGAGGAGGAGGATCACCTCCTTGCTGCTATCAAGGCCGCAGCTCGTATCAGGGCCCGTAATCTCACCGTAAGATCAAATTAACCGATTTGAACAAATTTGTTAATGGGTGATTTCTTTTTCTACTTTTTTTTTTCGTTCATCTGAGTACGGATTTGCTGTTTCCGAAGCAAAAGATTGATCCAAATGCCCCCAGACCCAGAGATTCTTTCTTACCAAATCATTGTCCTTAAGCTCTGTGTTTCTCTGTTGAAGCTCCAGCAGCAGACGAGTGCTCTGTTCATCTTCTTCCCTGCATTGTCCAAAATCCCCTGATTAAGTGAGCGTGCATCTGTAGCCAGTGGCTGCACCACTGCCCACTGATTAAAACACAGCAGTATACCGGTAATCAGCATGGAGGAAAAATCAAAGGGTTGATTCATGAATGTGGGGTGGGTTGCTTGGAGCCTTGGACTGGATTTGGGATGGAAATTGTAATCAAACTAGATCTCGGACTTGATTCTGCTCTTTTCTTCTCGCTTACATGCATTTGAAATTCACTAATCAGTACTATTACCGTAAAGTTCTCTGCAAGTAGGGATGTCAATTGCACCGGATTTCGTCCAATCTGATCCAGTCTAATATGAATCCATTACAGATGGATCAGGTCCAGTTAAATATAATGAATATTTTGGACCGGTCTGGACCATTCAATTTGTTAAAATTGATTTTAATTTAGATTGGCTCCAACCTTGGTCCATTTGATACATGTATCTTTATGTTCTGTCTTTGGATTGGATATTGGTTCAATTCAACCCAATCTAATATAAATCTAATATAGATGGATCGGGTCCAATCCAATCCAATGAATACTTTGGACCATTAAATTTGGATTGGTCAAATTCAATGTCTTGTTAGTCCATCCAATCCATTCACATTGATTTTGATTTGAACGGGATCCAGTCCATTGATATTAAAACGCCTTTTGATATAATTGTATGATTTCTTTGTCAAAATCAAGGTTTTTAAAACTGAATCGGATAATGAACCGATCAAGGGTCTGGTTCCCAGGTCGAACAGTCCGATCGTTCGAACTGAACGGATGGCCTGTTCTGACAAAAAAATAAATAAAAAACAACTAAACCACTGAATGGTTCAAACGGTTCAACCACCTGGGTCAGTGGTTTGCTTACCAAATCAACAGTTTTTGGAAAAATAACGGTTCTGGAGTAAAATGAAACCAATCACCTAACCATTCTCATTTTCTAGTCCGACGGTATGGTCCAGTCCGATTTTGAAAACAATGGTCAAAACCCAATTCAAAAATCAAGGTGGCCTGGTCTAAGCTGTACCACAATAAGGTGTCATAAAAAACTGGTGTGTTAAAAATTCACTGGTGGGTCTTGGGTTTGTCCTGCGACAATGGTCACAAGAAGAAAGCTAATCTCGTTGATCACTGCTGGGCCGGTTTTTTGATGGTCACTTGGATAGTGTTTGATTTGAAAGAAAAGGTGAGAAAAGGAAGGGAAAGGTAATAGGTTTCCCTACCTTTTGTTTCAAACCAAATACATTGTCAGTTCCTGCTTTTTTTTTTATTGTTTTTTAAATGTTTTGAATTGCTGTGAATAGGAGGAAGACTATAGGCGATTTGAAGAGTCGCTCAAGGACAATGAGGTTGAAGAGTCACTCAAGGACAAGAAGATTACCAAGACGGAAGACAACAACAATGAGAAGAAGGATGAGAACATTAAAGAGCTTCGTGTTGGAATAAAGGACTGGTTAGTTAAATATTTCTCACGGATTTCTTTTCCCTTTATTTAGAAAGTGTTTGGTACAGTGGTGTTGGGTTATCATTGCTTTCTGGGTTGATCAATACAAAATTGTGTTAGATTTGTCTATTTGAAATGTTTTGAAAGCGTTTTGAATTGTTCAAATCAAATTACTATTTTTATTTAAAATGTAAAATTTGATGTTTCTTACACCTACATTTTTTTTTCTAGCAACACATATTTCTCACAATTTTGTATTGATCAATTCAAAATGCAATGACAACAGAAAACCATTGTACCCAACATCTCATTAGGTTGTGTTTGGTTTGAACAATGTTTTTAAAACCGAACTGAACCAGATGGTCGGACCAAAAAACTGGGAACTGGTCAGGTCTCCAGTTCCGGTTATACTATGAACCACTTTTCTTCAAAAAAATGTTGAAAAGGTCAGAAAACCATTGACCCGGGTGGTCGAATGGTCGGGCAGCAGTTTACTATTTACTGAACTGCTAACACTTAATAGAGAGCAGATAAAGAAATGGGGGAGGGATTGGAATGAGATCAGTTTTTAGATCTCAGAGAGAGAGAGAGAGATCTGCAAGATCTGGTGCGGGAGAACTGAGATGAGATTTGAGGTCGGATCTGCTGTCGTCAGCTTGCCGCTGCCATTGCCATTGCAGATGAACCACCACGTCCTCTTCCTCCTTTTTTCTTCTTCCTTTTTTTCTTTCTTTTCTTTCTTCTCTTTCCTTTCTCTCTTTTCTTTCCTTTCCCAACCGACAACTTACAGCTACCCCTTCTCTCTATTTGTATTTCTTTCCAACCTGTGACCTAAATGCTAATTCAATGATCAATATGCAATAAATACCTAAAAGTATACCTTGACCCGCTCGACCGGACAGTCAAACCACTGTGATCCAAAAATCGGTGGCCAAAATGGTTTGATTTCTGATTCAATTTTTAAAACCTTGGTTTGAAGGAAAAGATAAAAAAAGAAAAGAAAGGATAAGAAAACCTATTCAAGATTTGTATGGGGTTATATATATATAGATGTAATGTAGTCTACTTTTAACTCATTGCAGGTGGACCAAGAGCAGGTATGCATATCTGAACCAACCAGCCATTGAGAGCATGGAACCACCCAAACGTTCCTCCACATACATTCCCAACTTTTTCTTTTACAAGCCTCCTTCGCCTCAGCCTACTTCACTTGGGGTCTTTTAATTAGATGATTTTTGTTCAGTCATCCATAATAATTTTTCAAAGAAAATAATTTTTTTTTTACCATGAGATAATAGCTAATCTCTCATCATGGGGGATCTTGGTTTTGTAATTAAGATATTTGTTGGATGTATTACTATTATGCTCGCACCCGGGTTAACGGGCCATCTAAGTGTATGGATTTTATATGCAATATTATGAGAATATGTATGGTTTCTTGTTGTATAATTCTGTGAAGGTGCCAGCTAGGGAAGGGTCTGTGGAGTTTGGATAGTTTTTCCGTGGACTGGATTTGGTTCAATCCGATTCAGTACAAGTGAGTTCATTATAAATGAATTAGGTCTAATTCAATTTAATGAATATTTTGAATCATATTGGATTGATCCAATTTAATGTTTAGACCGTTTAATCTGTTCAAATTCGTTTTAATTTAGATTGGTTTTAACCCAAATCCGGTCAATTGATATCCATACTCTTATCTTATATCAATGGATCATATATTGGCTTAATCCAATCCAATCTAATTTAAATCTATTACGATGGATCAGGTCCAATCCAATCTAATAAATATTTTGGACTGGATTGATCCAATCTAATGTCTTCTTGGTCCATCCAAAACCGGTCCATTGACACCCATAGTTGGAAGTAGGGCTGTTCATAAGAATGTCCAATCCGATCAACCCGGACTGACCCAACTCGAGTCAGCCAGGTTTTCATCAGTATCGGTCGGTTTCGGGTTGGGAAAATATATAAACCGATATATCGGGTCGGTTTTGGTTTTCACATGTGAAAATCGAAATCGAAACCAACCCGACCCGTACTAGTTCGGTAGTTCCTAGTTTGAGTAATTTCCTACTTAACTATAACTAGTCTTCTACTAGAACTAGAAGGCCCATTAGGCAATTACAATTATAATAGGCAATCTATCCTAGTTTCTAACTTTCTATAATCTTTTACACCAAATAGGCAATTACAATTAGAATTCAATTAGGTGTCCTTTTGTACAGGAGCAAAATCCAACCTGACTCCAACCGACCAGGTCGGTTTGGCCTATCAGTGGGTCGGTTTCGATTTTCACATCAGGTAACGCGACTAGGTCGGGTTGGTTGGGAAAACCCCAATAAATCGACCCAACCCGACCCGTGAACACCCCTAGTTGGAAGCCTTCACCAGGGCTCCTGTGGGCGGGCCTTATGGTCCTGAATTTCTATCATTGCCAACTCATGCAAGCCCAATCATAGTTTTCTGTTGTGCATGTGTACATATGCATGAGTAATGGAACTCTACGGGAAGGCTTGTAAAATTGTCGGAGTTGCCAATTAACCAAAAAAATTGTTTCATCTAGAGTAGGGGTGCAAATGGACCGAATCATGATTTGAACTGAATTGAACTTGATCCTATTTTGTCGGATTTAGATATTTCCCTATCAGATTTTTAAATTGGATTGGATCAGATCAAATAATATCGAGTTTAAATCATCTTCTATCTGATCCGATATATTTTAATTAATTAATTAATTATAAATAAATAAATGTAGTATATTACATTCGTTATTTTTAACTATTTTTATTATATTTATTTATTAATATGTTTATATTGAATTTTGTAAAATTTTATATTATTTATATCTTTTATAAAAATGACATGTATTAAAAATAGTTGAAAAAATGCTTGTATTTTTTGTTTTTCTTTATATAGACTGCAATGTTTTTCTTTATATATAACTATTTCTTTGTATTTTTGTTTTAAGAAACAACTAGAGAATGACCCCCATACTAAGTACGGGGTAACTAAATGTGTATATAATTTAGTTTGAAGTTTATTATTTAGTTATCAAAAATTAAATTAAAAAAAACTAATATGGGTCTTTCATCTTTGTAATTGACAATCTATTTTGACCTATTTTATTTGAAATCCACTATTAATTTTTGTTTTTTTTTTAATTTGATTTAAGATGTTAAATGAGAGCTTATTCGTAAACAATAACCCACTTTATTTGGTATTTACTATATATCTAATAAATCTATTTTGAGTTGTTTATTTTTAAAAGTTAAATTAGGTTCCATAAAGTTAAATCAGGTTTGTAATTAATAAAGTATTTTCTTTTTGAAAAAAAATCATTTAAAAACAAACATGGATTTATAGTAATCTTTTAATTAGTCCCACCATTTGTATTTTAAAAGACGATAAGCATGTGTTAAGCTAATAAATAATAATGTTTAACAATGAAACTACCCATTTTTTGAATCTTATTTCTTGAATTAATAGGATGCCACATGCCTAAATAGTGGTAGTGGGTTGTGGACTTTAGCAACAATTTCTCAGAAAATGCCACATGTCTAGCTTTTCAGAAAAATGAAAACGCCACATGTCTGAATGGTGGGGGGCTGTCGTAGTGGGTTGTGGGCTTTAGCATGAATTTCTTAGAAGACCACTTGTTTGAATGGTGGTAGTGGGTTGGGGATTTTAATAGCAACTTCTAAAAAATTGCTATGTATCTAGATTTTTAGAAAAATGAGAAGGTTGTGTATCTGAATGGTGGAGGACTATAGCCTCAATGGAGGGGGGAATGGTAATACAATATAATAAAGTAAAATAGTAATAAGGCAAATATAAAATGGCTGATATTAAACAATCAAATATAAACCAACAAAATAAAAATATTATTTTAAAATTATTAATTTAATCCACTAAACTTTCACGTAAAACTAATAAATATTAACAAAACTTTATAAAAATTAAAAACATGATGTTATACTTTGTTTTTTTATTCTTTTTTATTTTATTAGATAATTTTGTATTAATATATTTTTAATTGATTAATTAATAACATTGTCAAAATTAATAATTTTTATGAGTTGAGTTGAGACCTTTATTGTGCATAGTTCCCATATTGCACAATATACTTGTATAAAATAAAAGACCCATTAAAAATTCTATAAAAAAATAATAAAAATTTAAAATGTAGAATCCCTTTTATCACTTATACAAAGAAGACAAGCTAAATGGGTTTATCTAGAAACTCTTAACATGTGATACATGACATACAATAATAATAGTAGTAGTAATAATAATAATAATAATAATAATAATAATAATAATAATAATAATAATAATTTATATATAATTTGAAACCTAATAACTATAATTAATAAAAATTGCTAAAGTTAATACAAATATTAAATTTAGCAAGTTTTTATCTAGCAACTATTAAAAGTTAATAAATTAATAAAAATTAGTATTAATTTGTACTTAGGGATGACCATTTATAAAAAATAGTATAATCAATATTAATAGGATAATTAAAATTAATAATAATATGTAAAAAAATATAAAAAATAATAAAATAACCATTTATTAAAATATAAAATAATAATTACATTTGTATTTATAAAATCAGCATAGGTATTTATCTATTACCAAAATATTATATTATTAAAGAGAGAGAGAGAGAGATTATATTACAAAAGAGAGGTAATTAAGAGAGAGTATTAATGAGAGATAGAGAGAAATATAACACTTATATTATTAAAGAGAGAAAGGATGATGTAAGGATGTTTGAGTATTTTAGGCCCCCTTAAGGACTAAAGAACTCATGATACAAAACCCCCAAAACCCTAATATTAATAAAGTAATAAAATATTATTAAATTATTAATAAGATAATAATAATAATAAAGTAGTAGTACTATAATAAAATATTACTAAAATTATAATAACAAACAAAGATATTAATTAATTAATTAATTAATAATAATAATAACAACAACAACAACAATAATAATAATAATAATGTTTAAATACATATTGATACAATATATTTTAGGGTAGGAAAAATAATTTTAGTTATAATAATATTACTTCTAACTAAGTAATAAATAAATAATAAAATAAAATATGAATATTCATAACCAAGAAAAATATTAATATAAAATATTCATTATAAATACTAAGATATTGATTATTAAAGACTAATAAAATAATAAATTATTAATAAAATTGTTAGTTGATTCCAATTCCAATTCCAATTCCAAATGAACCAAACAACAGCAATCGGAATCCAATAATTATGTATACATATATATTATGTATAACTATATAAAGTTTATAATTGATAAATTAAATATTTATACTTTTTATATACATTTTATTATACATATATACTTTAAACATAATTGGTTTTTTAAAACTTTTTAAATTTTTTTATCATTTTAAACACAATAAGATGGTTATAAATTAAATGCAAAGATGATCCTGAACCCAACATAATAATCAGATGCGAATGTAGATCTAGATTTCATAATTGAATGCGGATGTGGATGCATTTGGTTCTGATATAAATCCCAACCATTTATAGTCCTACTATCTATATTGTATGGGGTTGGTGTAGATCTGAGTTAGACCTAGCTTAGAAGAAAATGGTTGCTTGAGCTTGAAAATTTGTTGGTTTAGTTGGGTTTAGGCTAAGTTATAAATGATCATTCCTAAGTAGGAGTCTGAAGACATTTATAATTAGGTCATCATTAGTTTTAATATTTTAATTGAATTTTATAGTTTTTATATAGAACACAAGTGGTTTATTTTATTATTTTTAATAATTTTTTACTTATTATTATTTTATGAATTACTAATTTTTATTAATTTCTTTAATAGTTGCTAGATAAAAATTTGCTAAGATTTTATTTTATTTTTTAGGTTTCGAATTATAGTTTTATGACAACTAACCAATTAATAGGATTCAAATGTGAATAGGAATGACAATGTTCCCCATTCCATTGGGTACTCAACTTCCGCGACCTGATGAGGCTGAGGATGGATATTGCCTTGGCAGGGATAGGGATTGATAATGATACCCAATCGAGGATGAAAACAAAGATAGGGACGAGGGTTTATTTTACAGCCTTAAACTTTGAGAGCTTGTACTTAGATTAATTTAATTATGACTAAAAAAATTAATCAATAGATTAATTTATTTCTAAGATTTAATGATTAATAAAGTAAAATATAACACTAATAGATAATACGAAAAAATAATTATTATTGAGTAATTAGCAATAATTTATTTTTTGTTAAAAATTATTAATATAATTATTCCAAATTATTAAATTATTTTTATAACAAATTATTAAAATAAAAATTACTAAAATTATTAATATAATTACCAATTTCTATTGTTTTACTTCTCTATCATAACACTGGTCCCCTATAGTTCTAAAGTAAAATTACTCCCAAAATACTGGATATTTACCCCAAAAAACCGCGTTCATGTTTCTACCCCTGGTTTGGGAAATGTGGACTTCGTGGACGGGGCACATTGGATTTTAAAGTTTAGTCCTTGTTCTTTATTTTATTTTCAAAGTTGGTAAAGCTGCTACCGCCTACCGATTTTCAAAACTTACGAACACCGCCAAACAAACCAGGGGGCTGCAGCCGCTGAACCAGAAGATCCCAACTCCGGACGAGAAGATAACCCCAGCAAAAATCAACTAAAATGGCAAATATACCCCCATACCGTTGACTCCTGCAACAAGTCCTTTTGAATTTTATAGGGCTTACTTTAGTCATTTCATTTAAAAAATCTGTATCTCATTTAAAATCCGAAAAGAACCTTATAAGAAAGCGAAATCTTCGAGTTTCTTTCGTCCGATAAGCAAGCGAAATATTTGAATCCCGCACTTCCGCTGGTACGCAGAAAGAATAAGCAAATAGAAGGTTAGAAACATCTCTGTATCCTCCTCATTCCTCAATCGTCTTGGAGAAATCATGTTTCTGGATAGTTTTCTGAGGTTTTGGTCCTTCGATCATGCTGCAACGATGGCGAAGAAGCCGAGGAGTTCTCGGATACCGAACAGGAGATCGTCATCTTTCACTCTTGTTTCAGCTGTGCTCATAATGTTTTCCTTCGTTCTTGTCATGCTCTTCGTTCTCGGATTCTTTTCACCTCCGGTCGACACAGATGATCCCCCGAAATCAAGAGATATGCGTTCGTTCATCCACGAGACCGTGGAGAGGTATGCACCTTGTAGGCGTTTTTCAATGCATGATCATATCGGTTTGAAAATTGATCGGCAGTGATGCTGTTCGTTTCTGTTTCTGATCAGTGTTTCTCTTCTGTGTTGGTTTCGTGGCAGAAATGATGCCGCCGTGGGACTGGGAGAGAGAAGGGAGCAGTGGACGGAAGTAATCTCGTGGGAGCCCAGAGCAACCCTTTATCATAATTTCCTGGTAATCTTCTTCTTTAGGGTCCGTTTGATTTGCAGTCCGAATCGGAATTTTTGGAATCAGAATTTTGTTTGGTTCAGACAGGAATGGGAACTTGAATTTGAATGGGAATGGGGTTCCTATTCCGTCCAACAAACAGTTGGAATTGGAATAACCCATTCCGATTCCAATTCCATTTCAGACCCTATTCTTATGAACCAAACGGGACCTTATATTTCCCCTGAAATTTTGAATACGTATGCCGTACGTATATATACGTATAAAATAAACAGCTGTGACGAAGACTAAAAACTGTTGGCTGCTTCAACTAAAATCTATTGGCTATGAGTTCGTTGAATTTTAGATTCTTGGCTAATAAAGCCATGAAAATGTTGGACCTAGAGTCAATCCTATTGGTCTAAAATCCCGATCTGACGGTTTTAGTTTATTTGGTCCAAAATCAAGAAAACTAACGAAATCCCAGCCGCTGTTTTGAACAGTCTAAAGAGGAATGCGAATTCTTGATCAGTCTTGCGACGCCTCATTTGGCCAAGTCATCAGTTGTTAACAGCAAAACCGGCAAGAGTATTGATAGCGGGTCTGTTTGAATCAATGAATCCTACACTCTCTCTCTCTCGTGTTTATCCATGCACACGTGTTTTATTGAATTCAAAACTTGACAATTGGGACTGGTGTTCGTTCACAGGGTACGCACGAGCTTTGGGATGTTTCTCAAGAGAGGACAAGATAGAATCATCAGGACCATAGAGAAGAGGATTGCAGATTTCACCTTCATACCTGTAGGTATGTGCTGGCTGGTTTGGTTTGCAGAATAACTTCATCTAATTCTTGTTTAATTCTGGTTGAACCGGTCTGATCACATGACAACATGAATGGTTCGATCATGGTTCGCAGGAATCCGGGTCTGAAATCGGAATCGGAATGGGAATGGCCACTCTCTCTTCCTCATTCCAACTGATTTCAATTTCCATTTCATTTCTGTCTGAATCAAATGAACCTTAGAACGTGTGTGGTTTAATTTTGACTTGTTTATTGATAAAAACAAACGTTGCAATTGTCAGAGAATGGAGAAGGACTTCAAATTCTCCGCTATGAACTTGGGCAGATGTATGAGCCTCACTATGACTACTTCGTTGATGAATTCAACACTAAGAATGGGGGAAATCGGATGGCTACCGTATTAATGTACCTGTAAGAGCCTTCTTACTCTTTTCCCCTATATTGCAGCAATCCCACATGAAGATGTGTAATCTTATGGAGACAAATTTCCTTTATTTCTAAAACCCTAATCACTGCTGATGCAGCTCTGACGTTGAAGAAGGAGGAGAGACAGTATTTCCCAATGCCAAGGGAAATATTAGTTCTGTGCCCTGGTGGAATGAGTTGTCTGAATGTGGAAAGAGGGGCCTCTCTGTTAAGCCCAAGATGGGTGATGCCATTCTTTTCTGGAGCATGAGGCCTGATGCCACTCTGGATCCATCAAGTTTGCATGGTAAGTTATCATTCTTTCTCTACCAGTGCACAAAGACTGGTAGTCAGTTGATTTAATCGTCACTGATTAGAAAACTAGGGCCCGTTTGATTCATGGGAATAGGGTCTAGAATTGGAATCGGAATGACCCATTTCGATTTCAACTGTTTGATTGGGTAGAATCAAAATTCCATTGTCATTTCTGCTGGAATGGCGTTCTCCTGTTTGAAAGAATGAGAACCCATTCCAGCTTATTCAAATTGTGATTCTGAATTTTTTTCTCTGAATCAAACAGATTACGGAAATAGACCATTCTGACTACAAACCAACCAAACCCTTAATTTCATTTTCATTTTCATTAACTACTGTTGAGCTCAGCCTCGGTTCTTGTTTTGGGATCACCTGCAGGTGCTTGCCCTGTTATCAAGGGAACCAAGTGGTCATGTGCAAAGTGGATGCATGTCAATGAATATAAGATGTAAGCTACTATACTAGAGTTACACCGAGTAACTATTCGAGCTATCTATCCCATCTTCAATTTGCTCATATCTGTAATTCCTAAATTAACTTCTAATTGGGCCAGATGGATTAATCTGTGTTAACTTCGTGTTTATATTTTCTTTTGGCAGATAATCCAGATTGAGTTTTCTCAGCCACGACTCCACTCTTCTTGGGCCCAGAATTCTATCAACCTTTTATTATAAGTTTATAACCCACATTTCTTCACCACTGTGATTTTTTTTCCAGTCTCCTACGGCATCTCCACTAACGAAGGCATGATTCCTTCCGCTAGAAGAAGAATAACAAACACTGGCTTGTTTTCCGGAAGAAGTTAATCTTCATTAGATTATGAATTTTCAGCATATCACGAAGATGGGTAGTTCATAATCTGTAGAATGTAGATGGACGGTTGGACATCTAAGTGTAACACCAAAAGAATATCGAGATGTATATGAATGAAATTGATTATTTCATTTAGTTTCATTCACTCGACTGTGAATATAAAATAGTAAAGGTGGCAATTTTTCTTTTTAAACCGGGTCCCACACTGCCCTGCGAATTGGTCAGGTTTTTTCTGATCTAAAATGGGGATGAGTGGGAACAAGGAAAATATTTTTGTTCTAAATCGGAATGGGGTTTGTATATAAATCTTCGAATAAATTTTATCGATAGTAAATTAATAAAATATTTTTAAATTTAAAATTGGTTTTTAAAATATCTTTAAATTTTTTCCACTTAAATCCTAAGATCTCATAATTCCATTTTTAAAATACTCTAATTCAATTTCTAAAATACTCTTAAATTCTAATAATCCTATTTATAAAATGTCCAAAAATTAAGTTATTTTTAGATAATTTCCTCATAACAGAGAAAATTTGAATGTTCTAAATAGGGAACCCAACCCCAAATCCACCTCATTGCCATTCTTAAATGTTTTTATCAATTGGACACTATTAAATAATCTTTGCTGTAAATGACCTTATCAATAATAGCAAAGGCACTTTGATCAATAAAAGTGTCTACTGTTCTGGCCTATTTGGGCCTGGGCCTAATTGGGTTTTCCAATATTTGTACTGACTACTGGCGTGAACTGTAGACATTTACTTAGAATTAGAGTCCCCCACCACAATCCTGAATGTGTTGATGGAGCTTATCTTCACAAATAATTTGACTCCTGGAACTATTCCAATTTCCAACTGCAATCACTTTCTCCCTCATTATGGCTTCTGCCCATATAAGGTTTGACCTGTTCTCTGTGAAACTGTAATCACTTTCCATTCCTCTTAATTATTTTTCTTTTTATTTTAAAAATAAAATACATTAAAATGAATCCATTAAATCTAATCTGATCACTCGTTTATAAAATATGGGCATCTTTTTGACAGCAAGAGACTTACCAACTATCCCATTGGTACCGTACAATCTTCACCCATTTCACTCTGCTCAATGGGCATATGCATTGTTAAACTATGGGGGTCATAAAATCATTTTTCATCAGTTGATAGTTGATATCAAATTCAAATGTAAGCATGGTTTTTAAAACCAGATCTGATCGGACGGTCGGACTGGTTGAAATCAGTTCCATTTTATTCCAGAACCGTTATTTATCAAAAATTATTAATTTGGTTAATAAATCACTGACCCGAACAGTCAAATCATTCAATAATTTTGATCGTTTTTTAATTTTTTTATCAGAACAGGCAATTTATTCGGTTTGAAATGTCAGACCATTCGACCCAAAAATTGGACCCCTAACCGATTCGTTGTCCGGTTCAATTTTAAAAACTTTAAATGTAAGCAAGTTCGAATTGATCCAATCTATTTCCAGCCCTATTCCCTAGTCCCTGAATTGTCTAATCCAAACTCTGATAACATTCATTGGTCTAATCCAATCCCTGAATTGATCCACAATGCTCATAACAGTATTGTGTCTATTTCAGTCATTTTATAGTCCATTACCTACTGTGAACATGTGTAGCAAGTCAATGCCCATGTGACCTATAAGTGTTAGACAGCTGTCCAGATTGGTGGGAATCCTCTGCCTCTTCCTCGTATGACTTCTGGTAGTGTTTTAACCAGCTGGCATCAACAAGCTTAAAATCTAATATTATTCAGTTCAGCCACTTCAACCTTTATTATTGCTTGAAATTGTCGGCAACGGGGCAGGTTTTTGGAAGATGGTTTGGTAAATTCTAAACTTTATTCGCTTCCCTAAACCTCCCTACCCTTATTCGCCCCCAAATTGGTAACGGGTTGAATTTTTAGAATCCAAACCTTTTTGCATATAAAAATGCAAAACCCTCCCTGGACCCTATGGTTGGGACGGGTTAGATTTAAAACTTACATATAATTTTTTATTATTTCTTGTTATATATATATATATATATATATATATATATAAGTAATAAATGAGTAAGATAATACAAATAAACTACAAAATCAATTATTTGATTAAGACATGTACTCATTTATCCTTCACATAAATTCAAAATATTATTAGATTCAATATCTAATACATAAAATTCATATGCTTTTCAATAATATGTAAATTTGAGAATGCTTAAGTTAAAAATAAGTGATTGAAAACAAGTTTTTATTTGAATAAGCACTTATTTGCATTTGACATCCAACTTTTTCAAGTGTTTATTTTAAAAAAATAAGCACTTATTTTATATTGGGTGTTTGGTAGTTTTCTTCTCTAATAAGCATTTGCAACTATTTTGTCATTCATTTTCTTTCAAAATTTTAAAATATACCCTTTGACAGCACTTTTACTTTTATGAAAGTACTTTTACAAAAGAACTTTTATAAAAGTATTTTAATGAAACCACTTTTAAGAAAGTACCCTTACGAAAGAACTTTTATGAATGCACTTTTATAAAAATATGTTTGTAAAAGTACTTTTATAAAGTGATTTTCGTAAAAGTGCTTTTATAAAGTTCAACTAGAGTAATTTTATAAGTGGTATTATAAAATTCAACTAGGATAATTTTGGAAGAAAAAAATTGAATAAGTGCTTACTGTATAAGCACTAAAAAATAGCTGGAAATTTGTACTTAAAAAATAAGCCCTTATTTTTAAAATAAGTACTTATTTTCATGGTTCAAAGTATCAATATGCCTTTGCGTATCGGCAGAGGCATATCGGTACTTAGATACACATGGAAATAACTTTTTTTTTTCAAAATTTGGTTTTTGGGGAGTTAAAAAAGAGTGGGGTCCCAAACCTGTTTTAGGACCCAAAAGATACGATATGATACACCCGATACGGGGTGTATTGTATCGATTTTTTGAACCTTGCTTATTTTTCAATTACCAATAAGTGCTTAATGGCCCAAATAAGCACTTATTTTTAAGCACTCCCAAGCATGGCCTTAGCCTAATACCCTGCCCTATCCATACTCATATGGGTTGTAGAATGGGATAATAGCACATAAGGGCAATTTTTGGGCCATAATATTAGTAAAAGTAATATTTTTAAAAAATTTCAAAAATATGGTAACTTTTGAAAAATAATATCAATAAAGGGCAGAATCACTGTTCATCTTCTTCCTCTTGTATTCTATTCACCAGCACCGCCTCCGGCAACGCCTCTACCTGTCTCTGTCCACCTCCACCTCTGCTTCCGACAATGTTGTCGGAGGCGGAGGAGGAAGTGGACGGAGTTGGTGGCGTTGGGTAGAGAAATAACCACCAGCGCCACCGTCGCCGCCGCCTCTGCCGCCGCCTCTGTCGACGACGGCGCTGGTGAATAAACTGTAAGAGGAAGAAGATGAACAGTGATTTTGCCCTTTATTGATATTATTTTTTAAAAGTTACCCTATTTTTAAAACTTTTTTAAAAATATTATTTTTACTGATATTAGGGCCCAAAAGTTGCCCTTCTATGCTATCCCAAAATCCCATCCCAGCCCCAAAACCCGCTGTTCAAGCAAAAAAAAGCTTTCCCGTGTACGGTAGAAATTGCTAATTTGCCATTCCTAATTGTCAAACAACTTGTCCGCGACTTTTTATTAGATTTAGCCCACCAACAAGTTTTGACGTAGGAAGAACGCTGGATTGGGGCCCACTTACTTGATACACGTAAAACGTTGAGAATGCTTAAAAATAAGTAATTATTCAAATAAGTAGTTTTGAGTTGAAAACATACCAATAAGCATTTACTTACATTTGATAAATAAGTTCAAAATAAGTGTTTATTCCCAAAATAAGCAATTATTTGAGAAACCTAAATTTTGAACTTATATTTTAAGTGTTTATTCAATAGGTGCTTTTTTATGGATTATGGTCTATGTTGACTCACTACATCATTTTGAAAACACCTATTTAAAATAAGTGATTTTTCATCAAATGTATTAAAATAAGTACTCTTAAACTTAATTGTACTGTACAACGAGTCCAAATCTGCTGATCACGTATCCAGCCGCACAAATGGAATATTGGCGATATTAACCTATAAGAGTGTAAAGATATTCCTAACATGCGCCTGGATGAACGTGGGCAGCAGATCCAAATCCCTATACAAGAACATTTGTGCCTTCCAGATGATGAAGACGACGACTATTTGCTGAATACAAGAACACGGCTTCTTCACCAACTCTTTGTCTGGGCCTGGACGGGTCCCGTGAGGCCTTGAGAGGCGGGTCAGAGGTGAGAGGTCTAGATCGTTAACTGGCTAAAACTATTTCCTTTAATGACATGTTTACCCATTTGCAACCGCCAAACAGGCCCTTCCTGACTTCCTGTTAGCAATGCGTAACACGTAAGGAACTAAGGACATATTTGTTATTTCAGGTGCCAAATTAATAGGCAATTTCGGTACCATACCTCCGTCTTCTTTCTTCTGATACAAATACGATTTAAAGAGAGAGAATCGGAATTGTCAAAACTCAAAACAGAGAGAAAAAAAGGGAAGTAGAGAGAATCAGATCTGGTTTGTCTTCGACTGTTAGGGTTTTGGATTAGATAGCTGAGGTTTCGCTCGTTCTCTGACAATGGCGAAACCGAGGCCTTTCCGGACCCCTAACAAGAGATCGTCCACTTACACGCTTGCGCTTGCCATGCTTCTCATGCTCACTTTCGTTCTCCTCATGCTCCTCGCTCTCGGTATCTTCTCTCTTCCTGTCAGCAGCAATGATACCTCGAAAGCAAACGATCTCAGCTCGTTCGTCCACAGGACTGTGCATAGGTATGTCTACGTCCCCAATCTGGTCATAATTATGCCTTATCCACAGTGAATTCGATGATGATCTTGTTCGCCCGCGTTTTCCATTTGTTGTTTATATTGTAGAAATGATGGTGGATTCGGAGAGAGAGGTGAGCAGTGGACTGAAGTTCTTTCCTGGGAGCCCAGAGCGTTTATTTACCATACTTTCCTGGTGAGATTTTTTTTTGGGGTTCTGTTAATTTCTCTATTGGTTCCATGAAAGGGATTACATATATTGCTCAAATTGTCGGTTTTAGATGTTGGTTTCGCATTCTTGTTATTTATCTTTCTTAATTCTGATAACCTACCAGTTCAACAAAGTCAATTGTTTTTTATTTTTTCATTGATCTGGAACTTATATCTGCGATTTCGTTCTCTTAATTTAAGCAAAATTTATTTCATCGTGAAAGATTCTCATGATGCATTACTCTGGCGCAGAAGAAATATCGCTATTCAAGAGTTTTGTAAATGGTAAGCCCAATTTTGGGTGAAAAATGAAGGGGACCCACGAGAATAACTGATTCTCCTGGATCATGCGTTTTCTGTAAATGGAAACATTCCAATAGTAAACCGCACAAGGCTAGTAGGACATACCAATTCTGCGGACAACATAAACCCAAGACAGTTGTTAAGACATGGTATGCACCAGGAAAATCCTGCATACTGATTAACAATCTGGCTTTGGGCTGCCATATTTGGCAGAGGTGTTTATTTAGTGTGGGATCTATGATCACTTATCTATGTGGCAACTCGCAAGTCAAATGGACTTTCTGGTAGACATGATATCCCTATAAGATATAATAATTCACTTTTCCAGGATTGTTGTACAAGTTTTGGCACAATCTTATCCTTTTATGTATATGATTCTACCAAAAGAAAAAAGAACAATTTGTCAAATCCTTTAATCATTGATGCATGGGTATGGCATGCCCTAGATAGGGTTAAACTGTGAGACAGTATAAGGTTTTGTTGTTTGGTTGAGTAGAATTTGTGAAAGCCTTTAATCCTTGCTGGGTATCTGTTTTTGCTGCTTTATCTCAATTTTACTGTATTTTACTTTTTTCTCTGTTATGTTCAATTTCCTCCTTTTGTATAGGAGGTATATATTCTTTCTTTCCAAATCATAGAAAACTAAATCTGGCTACTCTTTCGAACAGTCCAAGGAAGAATGTGAGTACTTAATTGAGCTTGCAAAGCCTCATATGGAGAAGTCAACAGTTGTTGATAGCACAACAGGAAAGAGTAAAGATAGCAGGTTTGCATTTGTTATCTGTTACACTTATTAATTCAAGTATGGGATAGGAATTTTCTCCTTCCACTAGTTTTTCATGAAGGCACTTAACACATCTTTGGTCCTCAGGGTACGCACAAGCTCTGGAACATTTCTCAAGAGAGGACAAGACAAAATCATAAGGAACATAGAGAAAAGGATCGCAGATTTCACTTTCATACCTGTTGGTATGTTTGTTTGGATAATCCTTCTGCCAAGCCTTCATGTTTTCGTTATTTCTGGAATTTCCTTTTCCTTTCTTGTATTTTGTGTCCTAGGATATGTCATCATTTTGTGCTTTCGGATTTTATGAACTATAGGCACTTTATATTGCCTTTGGGGAACAATCATCATCATCATTTAAGCCTTGTCCCAACTATACGGGGTTGGCTCTTTGGGGAACAATGTTAGATAATATAATTTTGAGTGAAGTAATCATAACTTTTTAAGAGGCTCCTATATACATTCTACTTGTCATTTAAGACTCCATTTATTGAGATTTATGCTGGAGTTTGAATTCTGCTTCAAGGCATGCTTGGAGGAGGGAAGCTTGACCAAACTGAACTGTATGCTCATAAAGAAGATATTGATTATTTTGTACTTAGTGGAGAGAGTGTTGTCAGTGAGAAGCATTGCTTTGAGTCGTTAGTAGTGATAGATCTTGTTTATGTTTCACAAGGGTTAGGGTGTTACATGAATGGGTACTGTCACTACAATACTTGAAAATTGGAAATATTTGCTTGTTTCCTACATGCATCATTATTCAGCAGTGTCATATGAAAAGCACCTTTTTGTGTCCTTAAATTCCTCTTCTGTATGCTATGGACTAAATTGGCCATAAAGAAGGATCAAATTGAAATACCACTAGAGTTTGTGATATCCTTAGTTGCATTATGATTTACTTACAAGACTAGCCTACATGCTTATCCTGCTTCTTGTCCTTCATGATGCTTCGGGAGAACTTGCTGTCATGGAAAAGAGTTCTTCTTTTGCTTATTGTGTAAATATGATTGTTACCAATGTCTCCACTGGTTGTTGATGGAAATCCCTGAGTTCTTCTTTTGCTTGGCTTCATTATCTGTTTTCTTGAACAATCCCCACCATCATCAAGCATTGAAAAGTATAAAGTTTTAGCTCCTCTATTTTAAATATTGATTTGATTATAATTCCAGAAAAAAAAATGATATCTTTTATGTTAACTTATCTGCTTCAACATGTTATTGAGTTGATAGATCATGCTAGGTTTACTTTGTTGCTCATGCCTCTTTCTATGGGCTACATATCATATCCATTTTTTTTTTTTTGCAGTATGTGCCTTTTGCAGTTTTCCTTTACTTGGTCACAATTCCTAATGTAACGTTTTAATGCATTGTAAATTAACAGAGCATGGGGAAGGACTTCAAATTCTCCACTATGAGGTTGGACAGAAGTATGAGCCTCATTATGACTACTTCCTTGATGAATTTAACACTAAGAATGGGGGTCAAAGGATGGCAACTCTTCTTATGTATCTGTAAGAGTCACACCACCATTACATATGCAACTAAATTTTACTTCAGGATGCATTTCCTAGAAACTAATCTTTTCTGTCTTCCTTTTTCCTTTCTTTTTATGCAGCTCTGATGTTGAAGAAGGAGGGGAGACAATATTTCCCTCCACCAATACCAATTTCAGCTCTGTGCCATGGTATAATGAGTTATCTGAATGTGGAAAAAAGGGTTTGTCTGTTAAACCAAAGATGGGTGATGCATTGCTATTCTGGAGCATGAGGCCTGATGCCACTCTGGATCCTTCAAGCTTGCATGGTCAGTTGCTATTTTATCATCCAGTCTTTGCAATCTATTTAGTTCAAGTCTCACCATCTCAGTTGCAATTCAGCTGATACGAGACAACCTTGACTTAGCTGTTAGAATATTGCAGCTGGTTCCATTTGGAGTTGGTGCTAATAATTTCTCATTAGAAAGTTACCTCTTGTGTTCAGCACCAGCTATTTGTTTCAATCTTGCAACTTTAACTAAATCCTTTTTTACTTCATTTCTAATTCTGGAATGACTCTCAGGTGGTTGCCCTGTGATCAAAGGAAATAAGTGGTCCTCTACAAAGTGGATGCATATAAATGAGTATAAGGTCTAAGCTATTGTTCTCAAGGTACACTTATGTCTACATCATCATCAACCATGTCTTATCCCAATCATATGGGTCAGCTACATGAATCCTATTTCGCCAATCTGTTCTATTTGAAGTCATATCCACTGTTAAATTATTAGTGCTTAAATGATTCATTTCTTACTACTACTACTACCCATGTCCTTTTTGGTCTACCCCTAGCTCTTTTAGCCCTTTCCACTTGTAACATATCACTTCTTTCATGTATGGTTTCTGTTTCTGATGCTTCAGAATGAGAGGGTCATGATACTTCATGAATTGCTAATCAATTAGCCTTGGTAATAGTCTTCCTCTTCAGCATTATACAAGGAGTTGATACGAGGGATAGGCAGGGTTAAGATTCCATACAAATGACAGCAGAACTTTATGCTTTTCTCCAAATATGAGGTTCCCTACAAGTGCAGTGTGATTTTTTTAATTTGAAAAGATCACTTGGGGCAATTTGAATTACAATGCAACAAAACTCGTTTAAAAATGCCCATTGTAGGGAATATTTTTGTCTGTGAAACATGTGGGGAAAATATTTCCTGCCAAAACGTTTTTGAACTTAATTACATTGATTTGGCGTATTTATTTATTTTATTTTTATTTTGGCAGGTTACCAAGTTGAGTTTGCTGAGGTGGGCAATTGTTGTAGTGTGTACAACACGCTTTAGAATTCCAGCGAGAGCTCCAAGTTTTTGTGGGGATTGAAACCTAGCATGTAAGCTTGTATTTTGTACGACCCAGATGCCTTGTAAAATTTTGATAGATCTCTCTGCTGACTCTATTCAGGTTGGAAGGAATCTCCCTTTCCAGGACATGACACGTGACAATAAAATCTAAGTTTTAGCGGGAGGGTTAATTATTTTTTTTTTTACAATTCTTAGTATAATGGAAGTAGCTGCCGATACTTGGACATGGAATTGTAAAACTAAAAATACTTCTAGATGTAAATGCAACAGGTTAGATATGTTTCATTTACTCTGTGGCCGGTGGCACTCCCTCTTCATGCTACTACACTAGCCTACTGTATTTCCTTTTTCAACTGTATTGACCAATACATAGTAGCTTGCATTTAAATCATGCCTCATTGGTCTACACAAAATTACAAATTACAAAATATGCCTCTCTCTCTCTCTCTCTCTGATGTTTCTTCCATCCAGCGGTCATACGAAAGTTGGGGTGAGTGCACTCGGATCATCTTTTCTTTCTCGAGAGACCCAAAGCATTGCTCGGACCTCAATGTGACAATGGTATCAACCGATGGTGGTTAAGTTAGTAGGACACGTTGTAGCAGGGACAGGGACCTGGGGTGAAATCCCGCTGCCACCAGGGTTGGGGCCTGAGGGTTAAGGGGATGGAGGATGTACTACTTCGACCCGTTATATAGCGCATGAAGAAGAAAAAAAAAGTGAGAATTTTAAAAAGGGCAAAAATGGAGCCATCTTGGGATTTTTCAAAGTGAGAATTTTCAATTGATGATTTGAAAGGGCAAAAATGGACCCGTTAATATAGGGATGTGCCAGTGCCACACATCATTCCTATATGATTTGATATTGGGATTTTTCATCATCACAATTAGTATTTTTTTGGCATTAAGGGGGCATTCTTTTTTAAGATTTTGAGAGGGAGAAAGTTGGTAAGTTTCCATTGACCAAGAATCTCCTTTTTTTTTTCAGATTTATGCGGAGACCAGATAAAGTTTATTTTTCTGGGTATCATTTATCCGGACCAGATAAAGTTTATTTTTCTAGGTAAGTGATACCCATTTCCTAGGTGGGTAAATAACTTTTCCACCTAGGGAAAAAGTTGCCAATACTTGAACGGGACAAAAATATCATTTTAGTTATGGATTTTTATGATTAAAATGGTCATTTTCTTATTTACATGAAAAATAAAAGAACATGGGTAAATGCACTTACCTGGATAAATGTTTTCTAGGAAAAACTTACCCAGGTAAATAACATTTACCCGGGTAAGTAACTTACCAAAAAGTGAATGGGGATTAAGAGTGAACAGCGGGGGAATTGTAGGAATCATATAAGAAATTTACTCATTCAGGGTAAATGTACTTGGATAGCATTTTCCCTAAATAACACTTGTTATCCACCCCAATGAATAAAAATTACTGCCAAATGGATGGGGCTTTAAAGATAAATAAAATGACATGTCCTAAAGATATTTAAAAACATGCAATGATGCATCAAGAGCTTGCACTCTTATTACCAAACAGAAGCCCATCGAGTATTTTTTTTTATATATTAAAGGAAAATAAAACGGACTATACAACACTGGGTCTGTTTGTTTGTTCTGAAGTCTAACATCTGAAAGTGCAATAATTACATCAAATATCCATTTTGACCCCATATACGAAAGTTTTTCTTTTTGAGAATATCATTGAAAAACAAAAAATTACATAATTACACTTTAAGAGATAAGAGAAAACAAACAACTATTTTTCTCTTAAAGTTAAAATATTCCTCTTTAAGAGATAAGAATTAAGAGAAAACGAACATTACATAATTACACTTTTTGAGAATATCATTGAAAAACAAAAAATTACATAATTACACTTCAAGAGATAAGAGATAAGAGAAAACGAATAACTATTTTTCTCTTAAAGTTAAAATATCCCTCTTTAAGAGATAAGAATTAAGAGAAAACGAACAGGCCCTAAGAATAACACTCCCTCGAAAATCAAACAAACTAATAAGACTTAAAAATGGTTTGACCTCAAAGACACTCTACCTTCAAAAATCAAAACCCAAATTTGCTAACCAATGAAGTGTCCACGTCATCCTACGTAGATCAATGCATGCTGAGCATGTGGACATTACAGATTTACAGTTCAATTATGAAGTGCTCCACCACATAGACAGATACATATCAATAAATTACTTTTAAATCGTATAAAAATAAATAAACTTCGGTATAAGTGTGAAACAATAAATCATCGAGCGTTATTGGAAAACTTTCCAGTTACTATCACAATCACAAACTTAGACATTACGAGTCCGCTCAACCCTTTCTCTATTTATTTTTTAATCAGTCACTCAACCCTTTCTCTATGGTTAACAAATAACATTCGTTCCATATTTTGGTGGAAGTTTTCATTTAACAAGTATTCATACATGATCTGCAGAAATAACTTTACATTGGATTCAACTTAATCGATGACAGCCAAAAAAATATACAAAAATCCAAACTATAACTATTTTAAGACGATAGCAGCATTTCTAAGAGCCAGATATCTCTGCACGTACTCATTGGGAAGCGCCCTAATACGCTTAAAAACCTCAGAATTTGCATAACGGAGGTTTGTCCTTGGGTCAACATATGGTGCCTGCATTTATTAAAAAAGGATGTTAATAAAGAACAAAAAAAATCATTTAAATGAATGGTGAGAGTGGAAGAGAGATGTGTAAAGCCTTGCTAAATTGTTCTGTATTGGCAGGTTAATCAGTAAGAAAAAGTGAAACTTTTGGTCAAGACTTTGCTTATAGTGGTTTAGAATAAAAATCATTTGATGAACAAATGAAAAACCAATCAATTTCCCGCCAGCAGGGTTGGGGGGTTCAGGGGATGGGGTTGGGACCATTATGTTTCACAAGCGTTCTGTTATGCATCTTTTTTTTTTTTTTTGAAAAACACAACAAATTTGGTGGAGATGCAAGCTGATTAGAAGTTTAAAATGTCATGGCTTTATTTTTAAAACATCATTATATAACAAGGGTGTGGCATTTTAGAAAAGCTGTCAACTATTTCAAATTTGCTGTGCCACATCACATTGGTGATACAGGATCACCATGATGATTCAAGAAACACCCCTCTCAAGAGTCAAGAAACCCAAGACATAATCATTGCAGCAATGTGGTTTGCCAAATGCTTGATTAAATGGCATTTGTATTTTTGTTCTGATCTGGCAAATTGGTGAAACAGAACGCTTGTGAAACACTGACAAAGAGAACCTAAATAGTCAATGGAGAAATAAACAAAATAAAGTACATTCTTTCCACTGAGTTAATTTCTTTTTGAATCTGACTTGTTTGGTAAAAGAGTTGCAACAATAATTTTTCCCTTCGAGATTCAAGACTTAACATCAAATTGAAAGAAAGACAACAACAACAACAAAAATGTTTTGCAAACTGGACTGGACAGAAATAGGAATTTGAGAGGAAAAGGAGAAAAGTCTGAGAAAAGCATCTGAATAATTGGGGGGGGGGGGACTTGGAATGGAGGAAGGAGGGTAGGAAGAGTTTGGGGAGGCGGAGGACTGAGATGAGACACATTTGGAGGAGCCTTTAAAAATTGCTGTTTTGGTGCTGTGCAAGAATGATTTCTTTTGTAAGCTGTTTATTTTGGCTGGTGGTTGCGTTTTGTGTTGTTCTTATGGGTGTTACCTTAAACACCTGTTCTGGTTGTAATTAGTGTTTTCTTTTCTTTTTACCATTCAATAAAAAAGAAAAGAGAAGTAGAAAAGTAAAATGGGCTCGCCAAGTTTTTAGTGCCCCATCTGACAGTTTTGGAACTGCAATACCACCCCAAAATTACCTAATGAGAGACCCTTCTGGTTTCCAGATTTTTTCAGTTCAACCACCTTCGGTCTGGTTATCAAAACAGAGAAAACAACCTCACTTAAAATTTCAAAATGTTTAATTTCAAATTAAATTCCAGTTTACGATCCATTGAATCTAAAATTCACGAGGACTCTTCAAGAACAATGAAGGTAAGAAAATCGTATGAAATCAAGTTGCTGATTAGTTGGGTGAGAAAATTCACAAGCAATCATTGCATATTGAAAGTTATCTTATGCTTCCTTTCATCCTTCAAATGTTTTCTTTATCATCCAAAAGAAAAAAAAAAGATTAAGTTGCCATTAATTGTACCAAACTAAGCCTTCAAAATAAATTAAAAAAAAAAACTAAACAAACCAGTATTTTAATTCCTTATAAATGAATACTTATTTTTGGTTGACTTGCAAATAGATAATTAGAAGCCCTCAAAGGGGGGAATTAGATAATGTGTTCTATCATCCACAAATAAGTGCCATTGTACCAACTTTTAAGTCCAAGAAGGTACAAGTACATTGCTTGAACGTAGTTTATGTGTTCTATTATCACATGGGCCTGAAACCAGACAATACATAGGTGTGACTCAAATTTAAATTTGTTATATGGCTTGAAGGAAGCAATCCAAGTTTCACATTTGACACATAGAGCTGTTTTCTCATAAAACAATAAAGACTTTAATGATCACTTTAATCCTACTTTTCATCGTATGGAAATCAGTAATGAGAAGTCTTTTTTCTCACATTATGAAAGAAAAGGGTGGAAAAGTCATACCTCAAATCCAGTTATATCACAGAATTTCTTGGATGGATACATAGAGGGTGGTGACTCAATGTTAACATCTGAGAAAAAATAAGAACAATCAAAGTAATTAACTGCAGTTCATTGATGTTGATACCTAAACATCATTACCCATATGCTTAAATGAAGAAGGAACTCTATGAAATCTAGAGTTCTACCCATAAAAATAATCATCTTGTGACAGAAAATGCAACGATGGTGCACTAGATACAATATTGCTTTTATAGATAAAGAATAACTTCACATCTTTCAGACAAGAAAACTTGTAATTACACCAGAATATAATTTGGAAACAATGAGTATGAACATGTTAGTTTTACCATATACATAATTAGTGTTCTTGCTTAGCATCCCGATCTATAATATAAAATTATAAACCATTTAAGCTCTTGTTGGTATCATAGTTTTGATAGTTCTCCAAATGATCCTCATTGCTACAGGGAATGGAATTTTGGAGTTTAGACTCCTTTTGTGATGAACATCCATTAAATTTGAAATTTAGCTGGAGTCATCAAACTGATTATGGTTAAATCATCCAACCTCACTTAATATGCCCTTACCTTCAGTCGGGGTCATTGAATTCTCTATTTGGTTCTTGGTATTCTCAATTCTGTTACCAGATAAGCAACATGGGGATATATTGGCCAAACAAGGATCAGAACCCAATATAGGCATATTTTATGCTTCACAACTTTATGTAAAGTTTGTAATATAACAGTCAGTACTCTCTAATTCCATGAAAACAAATCTCTTTATGGTTAGAGATAACTTATGAGATGGTTTGCAATTTAAAGCAGAGTAATTGCTAACTAGGAAAATAGTTTAGATCCAAAATTGCCACCTGCTAGAAAGCATACATTGTATACCAAAATTTTCTGAATGACATGTTTGAATGTTTCAGAACTATCAAAGCTGCCAATCTGTGGACCTTGATAGCTGAAAACTAATTGTTTGCTAATATTTATTTTAGTCCCAATTCAAGCCACAGAGTATGTTGACAGCTCAAATTTACAAACAATCAGATTTAAATATGCAAATGGAGTCTCCTATTTGGCACAACTCCATTACTCGTCACATGTTTAAATGGGTAGCAGATGGCCTTGTTAACCTCATTATAGCCATATGAGTTGTGTTTATATCTGGCCATAACTTGTGCATTAATGTACATCCTCTCACGTAGTCTGCATTTTTCTTTTTTGAATATAACCAAGGCTATATCTATATGATGCCGGAAAGATATGATACTGGGAGAACTTTGCCCAAACTCAATCCTCCCTCCGTTTGAATTTTGATCAATACCAGCTGTTTTTTTTTTTTTGATAATTGATCAATACCAGCTGATTGATTACCACTTCTACGATAGTGGTTGATTGGTTATCAGTTTTTCAGGTATGATACCTTTCCAGTATCATGGTCAGACTCTATAATCATAGTTACCTTTTATGCACACCCAAGATAACTTCTATGATAATAATATAGTTAACTTATCTCCCAGGAAAAAGTGAAAAAGTGTGAAAACCTAATAAGGACATTTCAACATCTTGAATATAATTTGAATGTCGAAGACTCATTGACTATTGCCACAATTCTTACACTGCCTGTGGTAAAAAAAAAAAAAAATAGATGAATGAAAACTCATAGTGCAGGGAGAATCAATGTAGATCTCAGGAATGTGGGAAATGTATGGCAGAATTGCATGCAAATTAAATGCCATAACTATAAATCTATAACATTATAACCCAAATGAGAAGGAAGGACAGGAAATTTTTATATTATTAAAAACCTGCATATACAAATTCCTTACTGCAGGTTTTCTTTCTTTCTTCTAATCAGCTCAAGCTGTTTCATTAATTATAATCAAACAGCAATAAAACAATGTATTACCAAATAAGAAAATGTTTGGGAAATCACATTCCTAAAAAAATTCCAACTTAAGTATGAAGTCAGACTCCAATTCAAAGTACAACTACCTCTGTTCTAAAACTCATGGCCCAGAAGGTTAAATGACTCATAATATCAAAAGAAAACTACTCCTTGAGGACTAGGGTTAAGAAAAATTGGAACAAAGGTAGAACTAAAAAGCTTCATTTCCAAACTAGAAACCAAGCACAAATGTGGAAATAGAATAGACACCTTCATTTTCAAAATTGTCCAATTGGATACTGGGAAGACATTGCAAATCACAATATCCTAGGAAACTAGTCCTAGAGAATAAGTAGATAAGTCATGGTGTTTGTCTCATAATGAACACAGGGAACCTCAAACACTTAAAAGATAAGAATGTTTTTTGTCTATCTAATTAGCATCTAAATAAAAGGTCAGAAGATGTGAAGCTCAAGCAGCTTGACTGACCATATGGTAAGTTGGCAATCATACATCCATATAAGATGCAAAATATGTGTCCCTCTAGAAAATTTAGTAATAAAATACAAAATAACAGTAAAACTAGACCTTGATGGTCAGATGGCTATAATCAACACTCTATCTAGGAAAGTTAATTAGTAAAGGAACACAGAATAAGCATAACATGAATATAAAAGGAAACAAATAAATAAAAGAACTACACCATTGCAAAGAAAAATAGGCAGATAGTGATCAGCTAGAAATGATTTACCATTTTAAAATATAAGTGAGACTGGATGGAAAGAATGTTATCCCCAAGACTACTGTAGGATCACTAAATAACATCTCAATTCCCAATTCATATAAATAAGTGCTGAAAAATATGCATATCCAAACTGAAAATATTAACAAAAATCCAGCCATAGAACTGTACTCACAGTTTGGTTCGTTTGCAGGATAAGTCTGGTAATTTTCAGCTTGAATTATCTGCTTTAAATGTTTCCAATGTCTGCCCCTTGCCTGCCCTTTAGGGTACTTCTCTGACATTTGTACCCTCTTAAAACTGAGATGCTGAGGCAACAAAATGTTTGCTTCTATGACCTCTGACTCCATTGCTAACCTAGTTACAGGTTCATGCAAAGTCACAAATGCCTTTCCATGTACTAAGAGTAAATAATAGAAATGGCCCTTAAGATTACTATTTTACTACTATCTATGTTTTTTGACTGATAAAAAATAATCAAAATCATTACCGACACCAACTGCTGACCGCTGCTATCAGATGGCCCAGATCTAGTTGCAGTCGTTGACGTCTTCACGAACTCAAAAATTGGCCACTCTGCTGGTAGACCTTGTCGTTGATTCGTTGGAGTTAAGAGGTCAGAGTTGTGACATTTGTCAGATTTCAAAGACTCAGACTCTCTGATCTTCACCGTTTCAGTGTTTGGCCACAGAAATCTTAAGCAAAATTGAAGAAGGAAAGTCAAATGGGTAACTGGTTAAGTTACCCCTTGTAATACCAAAAAACTAGGCAAATAAACATGTTAGAGGGGTGTTCACGGCCAGGTTCAGTGCGGTTTTCAGAAGATATCAGACCAAACCAAACCATTTTGGGATGGGAAACAAACCATTTTATTACAGTTTGGTGCAGTTTTTAATACAGTTTCCAATGGGAACAGTTACAAAATCTTATTGCTGTGTTTGGTTTAATAGAAAATAATTAAAAACAGAAAATTGTGGGTTAAGAACATTACCTCAATTTTTCTGTTTCTCTCTTATTTTATATCAACCCACACATAGCCTAAGGCTAAGGTGTCCTATACAGCCATACTCTAATTCTAAAGTCTTTTATGTTAAAATATGATTATGAGCTAGCCTATCTTACTTCTTTTAATTTTTTAACTATGGCTTCCTAATCAGTTCAAGAAGGGAGCTTCCCTACACAATCTGCTCGATATCTGCAAATCGTTCACCAAAGAGAGGACCCTCTGGATTGAATATATGTTTAATCTTATATAGTTCACATCAATGATATTTCCACAGCTTGTATTGATAAGAGTCATTGGCCATTACCCAATTGAGTATCGATAGTTTTACTCAACTAATTGAATATTAGCCATTCAATTTTTTTTTAATCTAATTGTGTGTCAATATTACCAATTTTTGCATCTCAAAGTTCACATGTAAATGGAGATTGATTTGGCCAGAGTCAATGGAGTACTGCATAGATTTGAAGTAGTCATATCTAAAGCGGCACTCAAGGCGGCCGGTAGGGGAGAGCGAAAGAAGAAGGCTCTGTGTTCGGAGAGATATCTGTGAATAGAATCATGAAGTGAAGTCTCTGTGCAGTCAAGGAACGAACTGAAAACTACTCTTATTTTACAGAAAAAAAAAGAGTGGAGTCTCTGTGTTTGGAAAACCAGATATGACGCAACTTGGGTATGATTAATCTTATTTTACAGCAAAAAATTAAAAAGAAAAAGGGAAAACCAAATAAACCAGTAAATCGAATGTTACCTCAAATCAAGCTAGAGCCTGTGTCTCTATATTTAGAATTCTGGGTTCAACGACGATGGAGAACAGGAGGAGGGCTGGAGAGCCAGAGAGGGAGAGGCGAAGAGCCGATGCAGAGTTGCAGGCCGTGCAGTGAATGGAAGAGACGGCAACGAAGGCGTCGGATTCTGCGTTCGGGACGATCAGCGAAGATGGAGGGATTGCCGGAGTCGGGAGAGGTGACTGGTGAGGGAATAGGGTTCGCGATTCAAGAGTATTAGGGGCTTCGACAGGAGAGAGAGCGAGATAAGGCTGAAGTCTCGAAAATTAAACTACCAAGTTACCAACAAGTTTTGGGAAATGGATTTATATCGGCTTACTGTTTGTAAACTACCTTAATACACCCCTAATGTTTATTACAATTAACTAATTCTACCCAGTGTTTTAAAAACCGATCCGGAGGCCGAGCCGTTTTTGCTTTCGGGTCGGGGCTCACCGGTTCGACCGTCCGGGTGGATGGGGTCAGACCATGCCACATCAACATCCCTTGGATTGGCCGAGGGCAACACCGCAAATTCACTCCCGAGATCTGGGGATGAATCGAGGAGACTTGAGGCACCGAGGACCGGCGAGGCCGAAGGCTAGTGGTCGAGGTGTGTTGTCTCTCGGAGGGCTGAAGAGGCCAAAGGCTACTGGCCGAGGACTAGTGGCCGAGAAGAGGTTCCGTAGAGGTGCATATGAGACGTCCAAAAGAAGCAGGGGAGGGTGCCCTACAAAAGAGAAGATGTCAGAGGCCTCGGTGAGGACCCGAGGTGAAGACTTCGATGGTCAAGTTAGTATATGCACACAAGGAGAATGGAGTCCGGTGCATACAAGGGCTCAAACAAGGTCACTCGTAAGCACTAGGTCCCTAGTAATAGGAATACCAAGAGTCTCTTAGGTTCTAGATCCCTTACCTTGTGGGGGTTACTCCATATTTATACTTGGAGCCGCCTAGAGGTAGTTGGGCTCGGATGGCCCAGATGTTAGCCGTACGAGGGGCAGGATACGGTCGTCTGGCGAGGACATGTGGCATCCTACAATTGGGCCCGCGAGGTCTGCAGCGTAGCCCTGCGTACACCACAGTGGATCCCGGCTGGTGCCTGTTGGCTGGACACACGTCAACCCGGTGTCCTCCCAGCCAAATGCGCCTACATCACTTGCCTCCCACTTCTCGAGGCCAAGGTGGAGGTCTGGGTGAGGCTTCGGCTTCAGTTGATGGGAGTGTTGATGCTTGTAGGCGCCATCGGGCTCGTCTAGTGAAGGGTGCCCTGCAGTGGCATCACACCTGTCTCGCTTATGCTTCATCCAATTCCTAGTCGCGGGAGAAGGATAAAGCTGTAGGGGGTTTGGCTCTGGCTAGGGAGTCTAAAAAAGAGGGGCTTAGAAAGGTCGAAACAGTGCCTTGTACTTTCGCAGCGATGGCTTAGGGTCATGCGCCATACGGGTGTTGTAGGTTAATATGTCGGGACCGTGCCCAATACAAGTCGAGTGCAGGGAGAATCTCCCGTAGGGGGAAAGGGTCCCCAAGTGAACCAGACCACGCGTTTGCTAGGTTGATGCGCCCGAACTTGTAGGCTACGATGAGCGGGACCGTCGGTTCACTCGACATCGTTTCATCTCCCCAAGGGCAAGTGCCAAGTGTCATGCCACGGATAGGTTACGAAGGTGGAGGCCTTACGACCGTTGGATCCAGTGGGATTTGGGTCGTTCATTCTTCTTTAAATAGGGGCCTTAGTCGCGTTTTTCTTCGTCGTTTGTCTCTAGGCGCCATTGCTATCGAGTGATTTCTGCTTCCAGAGCCTTCGGCTAACTCACTTCGTCTAGTTACTTTCAACCTTCATCCATCTAGGTAACACCTCGAACCGATGTCTTATTCCAATTTTTTACCCCGAGTACTATGAACTTCCCAACCTCTCGAAAGGGAGCTCCCCTCGAACCCCTAACCCACTTAGTTCCAACTTGGGACCTTTGGCAGCCAAGGTCTCTCCTCAGCAAGGGGTGATGGTGCTGAGGGGGAGGGTAGCCTCCGGGGATGCCGAGGGCAGCTGCCGAGGCAATGACCCTCCCTGTGAAAGCACCGCATCCGTGACGCCGAGGGAGCTTGAGGAGTCCCCCCAGGACGAGGGGGAGCCGGTCCCTGAACCCAGCTTTAGGGTGGTAGTCGAGCACGCTGGCTAAGGGGTGACTATGGATTGTTTTCCACGTTCGGAGTTTGACACCTCTCTAGACGTGGACCAGGTTAAGTCTTTGGCCAGGCAGTTCCACATACATCGGTCCTATACACTTAGGGAACCCGACATTGGTGACCAGTCGTGGACTCTTGAGGAAGGGGAGATTTGCATCTATCAACACTTCTTAGAGTTCGGCTTTAGGTCTCCCCTCCATCCCCTGATTTCTAAGTTGTTACAGTGGTACGAGATCATCATTAGCCAGCTTATCCTCAATGCCCTCGAGACCATAATAGCCATGTTAATGTTGTCTCGGCTTCAGGACGTGGAGTTGACGCCGAAGCTATTACGTGCCATGTTCATGCCGAGGAAGCACTCCTCTGAGGCTGGCATGTATTACCTTCATCCACAGAGGGGTAAACCCGTTGATAACCCTTCGTCCGTCCATAACTGGAAAGGCAAATTCTTTTACATTTCCTGCCCCGAAGGTTGGCCGTTCAAGTCGAGGTGTAGGGAGGCCTGTACGACAATCGAGAGGTGCCC